CTCTCTCTCTCTCTCTCTCTCTCACACACACACACACACACACACACACACACACACACATACACACACACATACATTCTCCTGTCTATTGATGGGGAGCGCCACCTGCTGGAAACTGGGTCCAGCGTCCCATGAACATCGTGAATAAAGCACCAAYCGGGACCMCMCMCACACACTCTCTTCGAGTTGTGTATAGCAAACATGACAAAACATACATACAGCATAATCACTACCTTACCCTTCCCGAACCACATAAACAAACGAACTACGGGCTGCGCACTCGTGCCCTCACGGTAAGTCAATCATCCTTGCGCAGGGGCCATCCTAACCTTCATTCTCTGTATCGTTCCAATTTTAACGGATGTCCCGAAGGACCCGGGCAGGATCTCCGGATGACATGAATATAGGGCATCTGGCAGCCCCCTGCATCGTCGTGGGTGGCCGGTTTTTCACGTATTTTGTGCATGGGCCCTCGCTTCACTACTCTCCAAATGTGCATTTTCGCCTAGAACGTGGAAATATTCACCGCCATTTTTTTTGTCGTTTGTGCGTGTGGCGAGTACTGGCGGGAGGCACATGGACGCACATCCGGCAGCCATGTGCATCTGTCGAATCTCCTACTACCACTAACTGTAGGCAGGCCGTCCTGTCCAGATTTGATAGGTAATTGAATTGGTTGGGCTTAAAGAATTAGCCTTCATACGGGGAACCCCGTAGCAGCCAGAACCGTGTTAGGCAAAAAGAATTTGAGAAGGTGATCCCCACAACGGTGGGGCTTCCGGAATGCAGAGTATGGAGCAATACATCAGGCCATAAAACTTCAGCGGTGGTTATAGCTGAGGAAGTGGGGGGTCTACAAATGGAACCAATAATGTTTGGTTGGAAAGAGACATCAAAAGTGGATGCTACCACCCCAGTTGCGGCGTACAAAACTAAGCTTGGAGTGCAGATTTTAAGATCAATAGTGAAGAAACACCCGATGATTACAGTGGCAGATAGACTGGGGAAAGAACCTGCCTTTTGCCTAGGAAACCTTGACCTAGCAGGAATCTGTCAGGGATGAAAAGGATGGTGTCTCAGAAACAAGCCAGTCTGGCTTGGCTCCAGCTCTTGATGGTAACCCCAGTGGCAGTCTGGCTATCCGCTAAGGGGATGGAAGTTGAAGAGCACTGTGCACGCTGTGGGTGGGGTTGGGAATCAGCGAACCATGTTTGGCTGTTTTGTCCTCTCTCATTCAAGGTATGGGAATGGTGGAACGAAAATTGGAAAGGGGCAGCGGCTAAAGAACTCCCCTGGACTCAGGAATGGATTCTGTTTGCTCACTCTCCCTCTGTGAATGATATCTCCTCTGGTATAGCTTATGTAGCCTTGGCCTGCAGAGGGGCAGTCATGGAAGCAATCTGGAAAGCTCGGAATAGAGCCTTATTTAAGCTGGAACCAACACCTCTTCAGGAGCTGTTTGCTTCAGCAAAAGTTTTGGTTCGGCAGATAATTAGATCGGACTGGTCCCCCCAAGGGAGCCATGCTTATAAGAACCGATACTGGTTCAGGCAAACATGGGGGAAAGTTCCTGACTTGGTGTCCTTCTCAGAAGATGGAAATTTGAAACTCTCAGAGTGGCTGTCGTAGGTAAGCGCCTGTCAGGGAGCTGTAATGCGAGTAGGCCGGAATAGGCCGCAAAGGTTTTAATAGGATAAATCCTTGTGTTTCGTTTTGGAGAGAAAAGTGGTTGTGGTACTGTAGATTAAGCGGGAATTCGATAGTTTGGCGCCGGGTTGTTCTAGAGTTCAAGTTGGTTGTAAGCTAGATGTTTGTAGTCTGGATAAGTAATTTGGTCTGTCTCTTGGTTTCTGAAGGATTGGTTCGGGTCCCTCTTGCTGGTCCCGTGAAAAGCTTAAGCTGGGTAAGGTTCCCAGAAAAAAAAAAAAA